CTCGCAATTTTATCGACGATGGAGTAAAATTGGAAAATATGTTTTTGTTGCAGGCCAAAGCGTTGGGAAATGCTTTGTTTTTTAGTGGATTTGGCCACAATAAATTGGACCTTGTGCCTACGTGGTTTTCCAATACCCAATCTATCTTGGTTAATGCGTTTATGCCGCGCGTTCGGCTAGTGCAGGACGGAAAAAGAACCGCGCGAGGTCACGTGACGTAGATTCTTTGCAGCCTGCGATAAGCTCTAGCCTGCGGCAACAGCTTGACTGCCGTTTATTTGAAGACGTACGCCGTGAGTTTTGTGACGTGCAGAAGAACGGCGTAAGCCACGTTATGCATGGCTATGTGTATCCGTGCCCGTGCGTCGCGTTGTCACAGAAGTTACCGCAGTGGAGCCTGTGCATCCGCCTGTGGTGATGTGTCCGCGCCCGGCCGCCCTGGTGCGTGTGTCGCCTGCCCCTGCGGCTGGCCACCGCGGCGCCTCTGTAGCCGGCCGCTGCCGCTGCCGCAGGTACCAGATGTGTGTGTCGCTGGGCATGGGCGGCTACTGCGACTGCGGCGACTCGGAGGCCTGGAAGCGGGACCCGTGCTGCGCGGCTCACCATCCGGCGGCCGGGCCGCAGCCAGCCGCCGCCGCCCGGCCGGAGCTGGCCGGCAAGGCGGCGCTGGTTTTCAGCGCCGGTGAGATCCCCCCCCCCCCCCCACCGCCTCCCTTCTTCCTTTCCTGTCACCCATCGTGTCTTGCCGGTGCCCGATGCACTCCCGGGCCAACTGTAGCTCATCAGACGGCATCAACACCGGCCTGCTTCATATGTCATATTTTCCGTCCGTCACTGCAGTCTCTGCGGGCAGGACGTTATATCCGATTGCCACTTTTCCGCGATGGCTGGTGACATTTATCCCCGACAACTGCGCCTGATTTCCATGACTGACGCCTGCCCTCCAGCCGGCGTCAGTCATGGAAGTTATCTGCGGGCAGGACGTTATATCCGATTGCCACTTTTCTGCGATGGCTGGTGACATTTATCCCCGACAACTGCGCCTCATTTCCATGACTGACGCCTGCCCTCCAGCCGGCGCACCTGCAGCCCGCGTGAGGGTGTTCACCAGCGTGGCGCGTTCGCTGACGCCCCGGGCCACCTCCGCGCGAGAGGGTCCACCAGCTCGCCACGTTCACTTACGCTCCCGGGCCACCTCTGCGAGAGGGTGTCCGCTAGCACGCCGCGTTCGCTGAAGCTCCGGGCCACCTTCACAGCGGTGCAGTATGCGCTCTGCGTGTTCACCCCCGACGCCTCGTTGATGAAGATGGTGCCGCTAGACCTGGACCTGGGACGGGAGCATTACCCGACCAGGAACGTGCGCTACGCCGCTACCCTCTACAACTTTGGCGTCTCCGTCTACGACAAGGTCAGGGCCCCACCGAAAACAGCGGCAGGCCTGTTGTAATGCGTGTTTGTGGCGGCTGAAGTTTGTGGAGCGGTTTGCGTGTCTTTTGTCTGAGCGTCCACGGGCCTGCCGGGCGGACTGAACCCGTGCCTGAGCATACGGCACCATTCCGCAAACCAGCGAGCCCCGGACTGGGCGCGTAAGGAAGGCAGGACGGATCAGTACTGTGCTGGCGGGTTCAGTTGGCGCCCTGGGGTGGTGGCGTTTTTGCTCTCGCCACAGGTGCGTCGTGGTCAGCGCTGACTGTCACAATATGGTGGCACAGGTGTGCTAACAGCTGCCCGGTGCGTTTGGGGCCCATGGGGCCGGCCGGACGTGGGGGGTCTCCGTGACGCCTCTGCAGGACTGCGCGGCGGCGCTAAGCCACGGTGTGCAGACCTCAGCGTGCCCTGACGACGACGCCCGGCCACACCCGGGCGTCCTCTGTCCTCCGTGACGCGGTGCCGACGGCTCCACTGACCGGCAGGTGGCCGAGACGATCACGTCCTGCACGCGCTGCTCGCCGGAGGAGGCGCGCGCCGCCGCCGCCGCCGTCCGCAGGGAGGGCGTGGCCATTCTGCACTACAGCGACTTTAACGTGAGTCGGCGCGTCGGAGCGGGAGGGCGATGGCGGCCGGGGCGTCCAGAGGCCGACGGCCCCCGCTCCACTACCTCTGGAGCCAGCCGGCGGCACGGCGCGTGCGGGAGGCAGGCGTGCCTGAGAGGCCGACTGGGCCCGCACACTGCCAACCCTGCTGTGTTGGCGGTCCCGTGACCGACGGCGCCTGCCGCCGCCGCAGGGCGCCGACGAGATGCGGAAGCGGCTGAAGCTGGACCAGCACCGCTCGCTGCGCCGCACGGAGATCCACGTGGTGCACGCGCACGTGGTGGCGCACCAGCGGTTCGTGCTGCGGCTGGTGCGGCACCTGCGCCAGCTGCTGGAGGACCGGCCGGCGCTGCGACCCATCTTCAGCGCCGTCATGGCGGAGGTCAGCACAGGGGTGGGGCAGGTGGAGGTGTCGAGACGGGGTCAAGGGGATCCAGCGCGGAGTCGAGAGGGCGGAGGGCGGATTGCAGAGGGATGTCACCGACACGACATTGTTCAGTGGAAGAATACGTGGATGACAGCGAACTGTATTGTGCCAAAGCGTCGCTCATCTGCGTGGTAACACGCTGTCACTTCGATCCCACCCCATGACCTCTTGCCTCGAAATCAGAACCATTGGTGCCTGTTGGTTTGCCTGGTGTGTTTAGTGCGTCGTGCCGTCTCGCCGTGTCTGACCGCTGGCTGGCTGCTGGATGCTGGCCTAGGGCGGCTGCTGGTCGCTGGTTGACTGCTGGTCGCTGGCTGCCTGCTGGCCGCTGGCTGACTGCTGGCCGCTGGCTGACTGCTGGCCGCTGGCTGGTCGCGGGCTGCCTGCTGGCCGCTAGCTGCCTGCTGGCCGCTGGCTGGCTGCTGGCCGCCCGTGGGCCGCTGGCTGACTACTGACTGGCCGCGGGCTGGCTGGAGCGCTGACCGCCGGCCGCCTGGCCGACAGACGGTAGGAGGCTCCGGCTCCTTGCCGTGCCTCCTGGAGCGGCTCATGGCGTGCGATTCGCGACAATGGAAGCAGATGCGCCACGAGACCCACCTCCTGCTCATACAGGGCATGCTTATGGACATCGAGTCCAAGAAGTTCTTTGCTGAGGTCAGTGAGCCATGTGAGGACCAGCTGTGGCGGACGAGCTTTGCCAAATATATCGAGGACACCTTCCGCTGCGCCAGGCTGTTCGCCAGGTGTAGAAGCTTGGCCGCGGACTCGGCATCTTTGTGTGCTCGCGTGATGGCTCGCTGGGCTCCGCTCCGAGGCTGGCCGGCGACGGCCGCTCGGTGGGCGCGCGGCACCCTTGGCGGCGCGCTGGTGCACTGGTCCCGGGCCGGCGGCCGTGCGGCGCGGTCACGGCCCGACCGGTGACGGCGATCGCTGGCAGCGGCCGCTGTTCGGTCGTGCGGTGGGTCGAAGGCGCACGCGTTCTGGAGTCGAGTCCGACCTGAGCCTAATGCTGTATGTGTGGCTGCTGTTGTTATCGACCGTCGCTTATGAGCAAAAACCTCGACTCCTTGTGAGTGTGTTAGCCTTTTGAGGAAAGCGACATGCCGGCAGCAGCTGTTCTGCGCGGCGTGCGTGTGCGTTTTTGCCGGTGGCGTTTGTGGCGACGTGCCTCCTCTAACTTGGTGCTCCCTGTGGCAGGTGTTCACCAGCCGCTACCAGGAGCAGACGCTGGACTCGCTGCCGTGCCGGGTACAGGAGCAGGGCACGGTGCTGGACCTCTCGGTGCAGATCTACACGGTGCCCTCCATAGCGCACCACCTGCTGGCCCACCACAACGCCTTGGCCGTCGTCCTCGGCACCATGGTGGACGAGTGCTCCACGTATACACACGGTACGGTCGGCTGCCGTGCTTCGCATCGCCTGGCCTCGCCTCGCCTCGCCTCGCCTCGTCTCGCCTCCGTCACACGCGTTGTCATGACAAACGCCATCTGCATGCGCAAGCGTGCTTTGAAATAAACACAAAGCAGAGTCAATTTGAGTTTCGTCCGCGTGAGTTTTTAAAAATTTCGAATTACATTATCACCGACTCTCAAGTCTAGCTTTGAAGACGTAAACTCTTGAAAGCTCACGCACTTCTCGAGTTCAAGAAAAATACCTTTGCAGTCGAGTCATTTGTCTACTACAGCTAGAAAGCTGCGTCCACTTCGTGTGATCTGGTTATCGCACCATCGAAATAAGTCCTCCGCCTTTGCAGGAAATCCAGTGTTGACGCCTATCCCCACAGGAACTCCATTGTTGACGCCTTCCCTGCCCCGCAGCAGGTTCATTGCGGACCCCTCTCCTGCCCCCCCCCCCCCGGCAGGAGTTCCAGTGTTGGCATATCCCCTGCCCCCCGTAGGAGGTCCAGTGTTGACGCCTCCCCTGCCCCCCCCCCCCCTTATATGAGGTCCAATGTTGACCCCTCTCCTGCTCCCCAGGATGTCCAGTGTTGACACCTCCCCTGCCCCCCCCCCCCCCCGTAGGAGGTCCAGTGTCGACCCCTCTCCTGCTCCCCAGGAGGTCCAGTGTCGACACCTGCCCGTCCCCACAGGAGGTCCAGTGTTGAACCCCTGCCCTGTCCCTCAGGAGGTCAGCTGGTCCTCCGTGACGTGTCCTCGGACGTGGACGCGCGGCGCCGGTTCGACCGCCAGCTCTCATGCCTGATGGACGCGCGCTACCTGCTGAGCGTGGTGCCCGACGAGCGGAGCGAGGCGGTGCGCGCCGGCGTGCGGCGCGGCCTGGACGCCTTGCTAGAGCTGCTCTTCTTCTGCGAGGTACCCGCGCGAGGCGGGCACGCGCGGCTGGGCGCCGCACCTCAGGGCACACACGGGTGGTGTCCGACGTCCGGGGATGACGTAGGGAGGCCGCTGGCTGGGCTACTAAGCTCCCCTGTGTGACACTGGATGCTTGGCCTTGGTCACTGTGACTACCCCTCTGTGACAAGGATTGGAAGCCTGTTCGAGCTGTTGGGGTGTTTAATGAGTGTGTGTGAGGGGGGGGGGGGGGGTCACGTAAATCTTTGTTGGCTAAGCTGGCTCCCTCGTGCAGCTGCGCAATGTTTCAAAATCGTCACAAATTGGGGGAGGAGATTCCTTTGCATTATCACCACCGTGACCTGTCAGTTATGGTCACGCCTAAGAACACTTGGTGCAAAGTGCGAGGCTATGGAGATTGACGTCCGCCCGCGTGTGGTGCCCGTCCCGTCGTCTGCCCGCCGCCTGACGCTCATTCCGCCCCCCGCGTCTCGGTCGGCAGGGCATGGAGCCGGTGGTGCGCGCGCAGACGGCGCACGTGCTGTACGACACGCCGTACGAGCTGCAGCTGACGGTGGCGGTCAGCCTGGCGCCGCTGGTGACCCAGCTGCTGGAGTGGTGCGCCGCCGACCGGCAGCTGCTCGTGTACGCCTACAGGTGAGTGTCCGCCGACCGGCCGGTCAGGCAAGACAGCTGGTCAGGGACGGCTCAGCCGGACCCGGACGGTGGGGGGCTCCTGCCCGCCGCTGCTAGATCGCTGAAAACAGCTAGTTCGTTCTGGCGACGCTAGTTTATGAATAACATTTGGATATTTTGGACACCTGGAGCGTCCACTCAGGGGCCATGTCACGTGGGATCACATATCATGTCTAGCTGAGTCCATGTACCTTATTTACTAAACATTCTTGTATCTGGCGACGCGTTTTGCGCTGTACCAGCAAAGACAATTAGTGTGACTTTACGACTCCCTCAGTTGCTGAGGCTATGTGGTGTCGCCCGCCTCTCACCCTGACAGTGGTAGTGGGTGCTGCTGGAGATCAAACCCGGGTAGACCTCTGATTTCCCAAACGCACAGCTTAACCACTACACAATCGGTGCCCTTACCAGTAGCTGATCGCTGTTCAGTTTTTGTGTAATACTTTCAGCGCTTCCGTGAACCTCGCTTTTGTCATTTGTTGATGTTGACCTTTTCCTGTTTTTCACCTGCGCTGGGTGGCGTTTTTTTTTTTGCCAATTTGTACTGAGCCGCGCCAACTGTGCTGATCCGTGCTGGCTTGCGCGGCGTCAAAGACGTGTACCACCGATGCTGATGAGCGGCAGGCGCCATGCCCGGGTGATCCGCGAGGCTGCTAAATCACCGACACGAGCCTACTGTACCCCATTCTAGTCAGCCACGCGGACCTTTCCTGACCTGACCTGTCCTGTCCTGTCCTGTTCTGTCCTGTCCTGTCCTGTCCTGTCCTGTCCTGTCCTGTCCTGTCCTGTCCTGTCCTGTCCTGTCCTGTCCTGTCCTGTCCTGTCCTGTCCTGTCCTGTCCTGTCCTGTCCTGACCTGACCTGTCCTGTCCTGTCCTGTCCTGTCCTGTCCTGTCCTGTCCTGACCTAACTCGACCCAACCTGAGATGATCTGACCTGATTGCAGCGCCGTCCTGCGCAAGCTGCACGCGCGGCTGCCGCCGGACAAGTACTTCCGTCGTGACCGGGCCGCGCTGTTCGGCCGCTCGCTCAGCGTCAGCCAGTACACGGTCACCACCATCCCGGTGTCGCTGGAGCTGCCACTTTCCCGGCTGTTCGCCGGCCTCCACCTGCACTTGGGTCAGTGACACAGACTCTCGGGAGACGGTGCTACAGGTTCCGGGCGCGGCACGGGGCTGGTGTCTCGACAGGGGTGGTGGTCGGCTGCCGGGAGACGGTGCTGCAGGTACCGGGCGCGGCACGGGCTGGCGTCTTGACAGGGGTGGTGGTCGGCTCTCGGGAGACGGTGCTGCAGGTACCGGGCGCTGCACGGGGCTGGTGTCTCGACAGGGGTGGTGGTCGGCTCCCGGGAGACGGTGCTGTAGGTACCGGGCGCTGCACGGGGCTGGTGTCTCGGCAGGGGTGGTGGTCGGCTCCCGGGAGACGGTGCTGTAGGTACCGGGCGCTGCACGGGGCTGGTGTCTCGACAGGGGTGGTGGTCGGCTCCCGGGAGACAGTGCTGCAGGTACTGGGTGCGGCACGGGGCTGGTGTCTCGACAGGGGTGGTGGTCGGCTGCCGGGAGACGGTGCTGCAGGTACCGGGCGCGGCACGGGGCTGGTGTCTCGACAGGGGTGGTGGTCGGCTGCCGGGAGACGGTGCTGCAGGTACCGGGCGCGGCACAGGGCTGGTGTCTTGACAGGGGTGGTGGTCGGCTCTCGGGAGACGGTGCGACAGGTGCCGGGCGCGGCACGGGGCTGTTGTATCGGCGGGGGTGATGGTCGGCTCTCGGGAGACTGTGCTGCAGGTACCGGGTGCGGCACGGGGTGATTTTGGACACCGGCCTACCCCATGACTGTCACCCGGCCGCCTGCCCCGCCGTGGCGGGCTGGGCCGCGGGGGTCAGGCTCCCCTGGCACCGCCCTACCCCATGACCGCCTCCCAGCCGTCTGACCGGGCGCTGCCGTCCGCCACAGCCGCCCACGGCCTCAGCTACGGCAGCGCCGAGTTCGCCTCGCTGCCGGAGCGCGTCTCGCCGCTGCAGCTGCTCGAGCGGCCACTGCGCGCACTCGTGATGGATGCCCAGGTGAGGACCGGGCCGGCGGCGGCCGGCGGGACCGCGGCCGGGACAGGGGCGCCGCCGCCGCCGCCGACCGAGCCACGCGCTGACAGCGCACCAAACGCTCAGCTACCTGTCTCAGCTTGACTGCCCGCTGTTGCGCGCTGATTGCGTCTGTCGTCCGTGTGCGGCGATCGGGCGGCGTTCCGTGGGCGCCGGGGAGTCGTTCCCATGCCGGCTTTCCCGGGATGTCTGCCCGCTGTGATGGACCCGGCTGTACCCCAGCCACGCCCCGGTGCCCGGCGGTGGGGCGGAGCTTGAGGCCGGCGGGCGGACGCCAGTCCAGTGAGCGGTCGCCCTCCGGCAGGTGCGCGCCGGCCAGTGGAAGCGGAACGGCCGCTCGCTCGAGGTCATGTGCAGCTGGTACTCGCTCTCCATGCAGGTGGTCGACATGCGGGACCGCGACCTGCAGGTACGTCTGTGGGCGCGCCGGGGCTTGTCGGCTTCACCCTCGCCGTCACGCGGGCTCCGTCCAGCGCCGGGGTGACGCGGGGCAAGGACTGGACGGTGTCACTATGGACACGGATGGAGTAGTTGTTCGGTCTGTCCTCACCTGGCATGCTTGTATCTATACGACGTCTCGGCCAGGTCATTCTCCAGCCGTCGTCAGGTGGTGTAGAGTCTTCAACAGGACTGATCAATCCATTTCTATTTTGATTGGTCGCAACGTGCGCACATACTAGTACGCCACACACTGACGATGGTCCGAACAATTATTCCATCCGTGGTACTAGTACGTATCAGTGCGTATCAGTACTAGCACGTCTCAGTCGTTCGTTAGAACTGTGACGGCGCGGTGTCGTTGCATGACGACACAGTCTGTCCGCCCATAGCTGCCCGGTACGGTCCACGTCCGTTCGAATGGACGGCACCCAGTGCCTTATGTCCGTTGGGCGCCTTGGTTTCCGCGCGAGCTGTTGGCCGGACATTAGACCAGTTGTGATACCGCGGGCGCCATCAGACGGCGGCCGCCTGCTGTCGGGCCGCGGTGCCGCCGGCCGGTGCCGGCCCTGACCGTCTGCGACGCGCGGGCCCCCAGATGGCGCAGATCTGCGCCTCGCTGCTGGACAGCGACGAGTTCGTGACGACGCTCATGTTCCGGCACGGCGCCAACCTGTACCTGACGGCCGGCGCCGAGGGGGCCAGGGTGAGGCGGACGCCCGGCTGCAGGCGCTGCTAGCCACCGAACGCGAGGCGCCGAGTTGGAGAGCGAGGCCCGGCGCGGCAGATGGGGTGGTCAGGGGCGGACCTCTCCCCGGTCAGGGGCGAGGCGCCGAGGCGGAGAGCGAGGGTCGGCGCGGGAGATGGGGTGGTCAGGGGCGGACCCCTCCCCGGTCAGGGGCTAGGCGCCGAGGCGGAGAGCGAGGGCCGGCGCGGCAGATGGGGTCGTCAGGGGCGGACCCCTCCCCGGTCAGGGGCTGGGCGCCGAGGCGGAGAGCGAGGGTCGGCGCGGGAGATGGGGTGGTCAGGGGCGGACCCCTCCCCGGTCAGGGACTAGGCGCCGAGGCGGAAAGCGAGGGTCGGCGCGGCAGATGGGGTGGTCAGGGGCGGACCCCTCCCCGGTCAGGGACTAGGCGCCGAGGCGGAGAGCGAGGGTCGGCGCGGGAGATGGGGTGGTTAGGGGCGGACCCCTCCCCGGTCAGGGTCTTCACTAGTGTCGGGGTACGGTGAGCCGTTGTGATAGCGCGTCTAGGTCAGGTCACCGCCGCGCGGATGACGCTGGACTGATTCATGTGTCGTGCCGGTTGGCGCTTCCTTAAAACCAAGTGTCTGCGGCCGATTCTGTGGCCAGTCTATGGCGCGCGTGTGGGGTCGGTTGCGTGCCTGGCTGTGCCGGGCGCCGCGGGCCGGGCCTGACGGACGCCACCGTCCGCCGGCAGCTGGAGGACGGCGCCGACCGGGACATGCGCGAGCACATGGAGAACAACATGGCCGACTTCCTGCTGCTGCTGATCCACGTGTTCGGCGAACGGTTCCACCCGGGCGTCGGCGAGGTCACCAAGGAGCAGTGTGTGCAGAACGAGGTGCGCCGTCGGCCTGTCGGGCCGGGGACAGGTGCCGTCGCGTGGGATGACACTGATCCCCTGCCAGTTTAACTCTTGGAACGTCACTTAGCTCGGGTAGATGTGTGGTTTTGCACCGTCGCTGTCCTCCCGTCAGTGTATTGACGTCGACATGACGCGCACAGTTTTCGTCTTGTTTGAGTCGCACCAGTCTCACGAGTTTCATGCTGCGGGACCCATCGACCGCAACATGATAAGTCCAATCTGTGCCCACGCCCATTCGGCATCGGTGCGGTGGAAGGCCCACCACCTGCACCCGCACAAGTGGCTTCGTTCCTCATACACTGTGCGTGCCCCATCGAGCCCCGCATGTCGTCATCTGTTGTCGGCCGTCCAGCCGGCACGCGTTCGTCACCGTGCCCGCCGGGCCGCTCCGTTTCAGGTGATCCAGTTCCTGTGCGTCAAGCCGATGGCGCACTCGCAGGTGGCCAAGCGGCTGCCGGAGGCGGACGTCAGCCTGCTGGAGACGGCCGTGCACCAGGTGGCCGACTTCGCCGTGCAGGAGGACCACCGCGGCCTACGCACCTACCAGCTGAAGCCAGGTGCGCCGTCCTCACGTGGCTGAGCACGGCTTTTTCGCGGCGCTGTACGGTTCAACAACCGGGCGTGTCCATGTTGTTACGTCTCCCGACAGACAGTGCAGTGTGGCCTAGGGGGTCTGCACGGCTCGGACGAACGGCGAGCGAACACGCTGGGGGTGGCGCTCTGGCCTGGCCGCCGGGGCCGTCTGTTGTAACGTCTCCCGACGGTGTGGTGCGCTGCCTCGGGCTGCTCGGCTTGGACGGACGGCCGGGCGGACACGCTGGGGGTGCCGCTCTGGCCTGCCCGCCGGGGCCGTCTGTTGTAACGTCTCCCGACGGTGTGGTGCGCTGCCTTGGACTGCTCGGCTTGGACGGACGGCCGGGCGGACACGCTGGGGGTGCCGCTCCATCCCAGCCGCCGGCCGGGGCCGCGCATTCGCCCGCCACCGCTGCCGCTGCCGGGTCGGCAGACCGGCGGCGGGCGTCTTACGAGTGCGGCGTCTCGTTGCAGAGTACTACTCACGCTACAACTGCATGTGGCACCACTTTTCGCGCCACGACCGCTCGCAGTCGGAGCGGCTGCAGCGCAAGAGGCGCCAGGAGACGGGCGACCCGTCGTGTCTGCCGCCGCCGTCGATGCCGCCTTTCCAGCCGTCGCTGCGCGCGGTCAGGGGCGTGCTCGTCTGCCACACCACGCTGCACACCATGCTGGCCGTGCTGAAGAGGTGGGTTGCGGCCGGCGTCAGGTCGGACGCCGCCGCGCGGCGTGGGAGTGTAACGGCACGTGTTCGTGTTCATTGCCGGGCCGTCTCGGTTGTAATGTAGGCAAGCGAACCATGCTTGCAGGACCGACTCTGGAACTCAGAGCTCTAGATGTGGCGAGTGTGAACATTCACGAAAATGCTCTTTGCGGATGTCATGGAATTGGTGCAGAGCAAGGAATAACAATGCTGGAGCGTGCACCCGATCGTGTTACCCAGTCCCTCGCGCCACCACCAGTCACGCTCCAATATTCAAATGCTGACTTGAACCCGCGGCTCGCCGTTCTCCACGGGCGCGACTCCGTGGCGGATGCGGATGGTGCGGTGTACTCTGCATGTGCCGGCGGCCATCGGGCGTGACGGTCCGGACCGGCGAGACCGGCGCGCGACGTCCGCTCTCGTGACGTTCGCCTCCCCCGCCGCGCGGCCTTCGCAGGCTGACGGATGCCGAGCCGGCCGCCTTCTCCGAGGCCATCTTCCAGCGCACGCTCTTCCTGATCGGCATGGCGCTGAACGAGGAGGAGCGTCAGGTGGGCCAGTCGGCCGCCTTCAGCTTCTCGGAGCCCGCCCACCAGGTCGGCCTCGACCGCGCCCTTCGTCAGATGGTGAGCGGGCGATGTACCTCGCCTTCCGAGGACGCGCGGCTTTGGAGGAACGGGACGCGTGGTTCGTAGCCACGTAGTCAGAGCCCGTTAGATGGACGGCGCTGGCTTTCTGGGTCCCTTCGGACTGGATGTGAGTCAACTGGCGGGCGAGCATGTAGGCGTCACTTACACGAACGTCGAGAACAAGAAGAATACACTGCATCATAGGGCCGGCACATGCCGGAACAGGGCGCAGAGCACGGAACATACTCGCGATGCGGACATGGCAGCCCAACCCAGTGACTGTCAGTGGGTGGCACAATATCCCCAAGTATTTGTCACGGTACAGCGGGTCCCGAGTGGTGAACAGGCTACAGAACAGGCCCCGGCGGCGAGCGAGCGACAGCACGTGTAGCGAGGGAAGTGTCGTGGCTGCCCTCGTCGCGTTCGTGGCGGGCTGACGCCTCTGTCAGGATGTTTCCGTGCTATACTGCTCGTCAGGTCACACGGCTCTCTTGAAGCTTCTCTGGTGTATTGTACAGCTCGTGGCACACGTACACACTGTTGACACACACGCAGCGATCAGTAACATCTTTACATGGAGTGGTCGACGCTGCATAACGCTCGCTCAGTTGACATGCTTCAGCTCGTGTCGCTCCAATTGTATTTCAGTGGAACCCTTAACAACGCTCATCATCGCCCGGCACGGTCGCAAACATTTCATGTCGCAATCCATGTCTCCGAAACATAAGCATTGCTTATCATTCGTATACGTTAACCGCATCAAAATTATAACAACAGATCTTATATGAGGGGCTCCACCTTTGCCTCAATGTCTTCGTTTTTCTGCCATGAAAGGTATTCTGCTTCTCGATTTGTATCATCTTGCCATGTAGGTAGGAAACAACTCACACGTAATCTGACCTTCTCTAAATCTTCGCGCGCACGGTTCCCTGGTACCCCTGATCGCGTGAGCCCTTAGCTTGATCGTCTCCAGCTGGACGCTAACGGCTGGCGGCCTGTGGACGGTCAGGTGGGCAGTCCTCGCGTCAGCTCCCACGCCGACCTCCTCGCCTGGGTGGTCGCCAAGCTGGACCGGCTGCTGGGCCGGGCGGCGGCCGGCGCCGTGGGCGCGGCCAGCGCCCCCGCCGATGCCGGTGCTCCTGCCGACGCCGGCGCCGAACAGCAGCGGCGCCGCGCGCAGGCGGCCGCCCGGCGCGCGCGCATCCTTGGCCAGATGCAGGCGCAGCAGAAGAAGTTCATTGCGCAGAACGTGGCGGCGCTGGCCGAGGAAGAGGAGCGGCCGGCGGCCGAGGGCGGCAGGCTGGCGGCGGCTGGCGGCGGCTCCGCCATGGACCTGAGCGAGTGTGCCGGTGCCGAGGAGTGGCCCGTGTGTCTGGGGCCGCGGCAGACGGCGCGGCCGGCCACCGCCGCTGAGTACACCTGCATCCTGTGCCAGGCCACCGAGCAGGTGTCCAGCACCCGCCCGGCCATGGTGATGGCCGCCTTCGTGCAGCTGTCGACTGTGCTATCGCGCGACCGTTCGCCGGCCGGCGAGCCGCCCACGCTCTTCGTGCCTGCCAGCCTGCACCGGCTGCCGCACACCTCCAGCTGCGGGCACGCCATGCATGCCGCCTGCTGGAAGGCGCACTTCGACAGCGTAGCCAGGGAGCGGCGCATCCACCCCAGGTGAGGGGCGCGGCGGCGCGCCGCGGCCGGCCAGCCTCGAACGGGCCGAGCGGCGTAGTCGGCACTGAGACGGGAGGCTGCTCGGCTGCGGAACATCGCAGGATACAGAGTCCGACTTCTTCTGCTATCAGATGTCAGTGTTCGAGAGTGAGCAAACAGCGCAGCATCGGGCGGTTTGCGGCTGTAATGGGTTTCGTGATGCTGTGTTTGAGTCCGCCAGCGCATAAATCCCGAGACCTGCGATATGTTTCGTTTCTCCGCGCGGGCTGTGGTGTGTCGCATCGACGCAACACGGTGTGTTGCGTCGGTATCATGGTTGGTAGCGCGACTTTGAGGTGCGTTCCTTCACCAGCCGTATGGCCACTGGGCGTATTCGCTGTGCCGTGACCGCGATGTCGTCGCCCTCCAGGGTGCATTACCTGTCCGGCTTCGACGTGCAGAAGCAGGAGTTCCTGTGTCCGCTGTGCCAGCGGCTGAGCAACACGGTGGTGCCGCTGGTGCCGGATGGCACGCGCCGCCGGCCGGCCGGCGAGCGCCCCAGCGGGGACCACATCTCCGTCTGGCTGACTGGTCTGCTGCACGCCAGCACTCTCTCGGTGAGGCGGCAGCGCCGGCTGCGCGCGCCGCCGGGCGCACGGTCACGCCGCCGGGCGCACGGTCACGCCGCCGGGCCCGCGGTCACGTCGCCGGGCGCACGGTCACGCAGCCGGGCGCACGGTCACGCCGCCGGGCGCACGGTCACGCCGCCGGGCGCACGGTCACGCCGCCGGGTCCGCGGTCACGTCGCTGGGCGCACGGTCACGCCGCCGGGCGCACGGTCACGCCGCCGGGCCCGCGGTCACGTCGCCGGACGCACGGTCATGCTGCCGAGCGCACGGTCACGCCGCCGGGCGCGTGGTCACGCCGCTGGGCTCACGGTCACGCCGCCGGGCCCGCGGTGACGCCGCCGGGCGCACGATCACGCCGCCGGGCGCACGGTCACGCCGCTCGGCGCACGGTCACGCTGCCACATGTGTCGCTCAGGCGAGGACTGCGCGCCTGTGTTTTGGGCGCTAGTACCGTGTGTGTCCTGTGGGTGGTGAACGTGACGGTCGACCCCGGGCTGGGGGTTTATGAATGGATGCCTTTCTGTGATGGTCACGTCTTTGTGTATGGCTGGGAAGCCGCTCATGCGTTGTGGTCGTGGTGAGCAGCCTCGGGCAAGTCGTACACAGTGGATGGGGTATTCGATAACAGCTTGTCCGCTTTCGTAGTTACACACAAACCAGGTGGGACATCGTGAGGGTGCGTGCATCCTGAGTCGTCATGTCATGCGCGAGCAATCCGTGTGGGGATCCTGGGGTCGTCCAAACCGGCGCGATGCCGCGCTTGGTTGGACTGAATAGTTTAATTACCGCACTGCTGCACGCGAATAGAAACGGCGTCATTGATCTCAGCGATCAACACGCGAGATATTCCTTATTTCGTTTGGTTTCGTCACGACCTATGTTCATTTGGCATAAATCCCCGCCCTGTCACAAGGTCAAACCGTCACTTGGCGAGCAGCGGCGGGCACGTGACCTGACCTGACCTGGTTGGCAGGAGGAGGAGGCGGTGGCCGCCGCCGAGCCGCCGCCGCCGGGCGAGGAGCGGCCGGCCGGCGCCCTGCTGTCGGCCGTCACCCACCACATGTCTCACCGGGAAGGTGAGCTGCGGTGGTACCGCCGCCGAGCCGGCCCGAGTCCACCGATAGTCCACCGATAGTCCACCGACAGTCCACCGATAGTCCATCGATAGTCCACCGACAGTCCACCGACAGTCCACCGATAGTCCTCCGATAGTCCACCGCGACCCGCTCAGCTATTGGAGCGGTCCTAAAGCAAGACATGCCTCCTGGAAGTCACAGTATCTCAGGAAAGCCAATTTGTACGTAAGCAAAACATATGTGCCTCCCGAAAATTTTGTTATTTTGAGACGATGCAGTTCGTGCCCTTGGACAGCAGTACTGGTTCCCCGGCCTCGCGGTGACATCACAGGCTGGCGGATTGTTTTCTTTGAGTGGCAAGCGTAGTGAGTCCGGCGTTTATGACGTGGCCATTTAACCAGTGCTGGGAGACGCCGCTTTCTGGTTCAGGAGGTCTAAGGGAATCGTGGATTTAGACGCCCTGTTAGGCTTGCGCCGTTACGCAGGTGCCCCACCACGGCTGATACCGTGATGCCCTGGGTATCCGAGGAAGGAACACCGCCCGAAAACGAGCGGCCAGAACCATCGTCCCTAAATGCGCTGCTCCCGGCTGCGGCCGCCCGTGAGCGGCGACGCAGTCCTAGCGTGGCGCCTGGCCGTTCGCTGACCCACGCGGCGAGCGCCTCATCGCACCACCGCTCACCTCGCGCTGTCACACCGCCCCGCCGTCTGCCCGCCGCGTGTGACGCTTCGCTGGAGACGGCCGCCGCCGTCGGGAGCGCGGGGCGCTGCCGGCTGGCTGCGACTGACACCGGACCTGCTCTCCAGGCGGTCAGTTCGCGAGCGTGGCGGGCCTGGGTGACCTGACGCCCAAGACGCACAAGTCGGCCCGGGCCATGGCCGAGAAGTTCTGCAGGTCGACGTTCGCGGTACGTCGAGGCTGGGTGGATATTATTGTTCGGATTGTCCCCACTCTGAACGTTCAGTAGAAAGCCGTAAAAGTGCGTAGATATCGGGTACGTATTGGCTGTCTTCGGGGCGTGGCATTTCGTGTTCGGCTGAAGCATTGTACAATTGTGGATTGTGACTGCGGTTGTCGCGTTGCTCTGGGATTTTTAGTGTTTGCTTGGAGGTCCCTGGACTGAATGTAAATTTGGTCCAGGAACTCCGTGGCGACATCCCTCGCGGGCGACATCCTGTTCTCTGGGGCCTTCTGAAAATGCGCTGATTTTGAGAAGATACACTTCTTGAATTTTGACAAAGAGCACTAATGCCATGGCTTCGCGGCAACACCTCAGGCCGGCGACTTGTTTCCCGTGTGTGGCAAGCGGGATGAATCCGGCGTTCGTGAATTGGCCATTCAACCAACGCTGGGCAATACTGTGTACTGGTTCGGGATGTCGAAGGGGATCGTTAATTTCGACGCCCTGTTCGACTTGTGCCGCTACGCATGCGGACCTGTCACGGCTGATGCCGTAATGTCCTGAGATCCGAGGAAGAAACATCGCCTTTAAACAACCTGTCAGAGCCTCCTTCGTTTCGACTCCCTTCTCCAACCTCATCCAGAACGCCCTTGGGCCATGGAACTCCTTGGGCTACTCCGCCGGGGGCCCTTGGTCCCCGGCTGAGTGGCCCACTGGCAGTGGGCGACAGAGGGCGGGCCTCTGTGCCGACAGGCGACGCACGGCTACGCGGCGTCCCGCGTCGACCGGCGCCTGCCGATGGCGGCGCTTCGCTCCTGCGCCTACTCGCTACACGCCACCGAGCAGCTGCTGCGCGAGTCGGGCCGGCCGCTGCTGGCCGAGCCGGGCAGCCGCGCGCACCTCTGCCTGGCGCAGCTAGTGCGCCTGTGCTCCACGCTGACGCCGCTGGTGGCCGGGCTGGCGGCGGCCAGCGACAACTGCCGCGCGCTGCTGCGCCTGCTGCTGCGGCCGGCCGTCGGCGGGCCGGGTGCCCTCCAGCCGGACGCGTTCGGCCTGGTGGTGGCGCTCTGTCACGGTCTGCCGGCCCTGTTCGCCGCCGACGCCGAGCGGCTGCTGGCGCCGGCCGGCTCGCTACAGGTGAGGGCGGCGGCCGGCGGAGCTGACGCTCGCGTGGCAGAGCGGCCGACGCGTGTGGGACGGCAGCTGCCGGGTCCTGCTCCCGGCCCGTCGTGTGGTGGACCACAGCCGTAATCCTGGTGCGGTCGACTGCGGGGGCGTGCGTACGGCGCGCTATTGCCAAGGCATGTTGTATGGCCGATTCGCCATCAGAGTGACTGGGGCTGTCAGGAGTATGCGCCGCGAGCTCCGGCAGTCGGCTCTGCCGCTGCGGCTGGTGCCGGAGCAACTCCCGACCGACTGGTGCCGCTGCTGCAGGACCTGCACTGCGTGCGGCTGGCGCTGGTGCTGCAGCTGGTGCAGGTGCTGCTGACGATGGACGTGGCGGAGCTGGCGCGCCAGGAGCCGATGGAGACGGACGGCGAGCCGGCCGACCAGGACGAACAGCAGTGGCTGGCCGAGCTCTACACGCTGGTCCGCTCGGCGGCCGGCATCGACGTGGCCGACGTCAGCCCGCCGCTGCTGCGCCAGTACATCGTCAGCGCCGTGTAAGGGGTAGCAGTATGTCACCAGCTCCATGCAAGTGCCAGCGGAACGTTAGCACCGTGTTAGTGGTAACAGCACGTCACCAGCTCCATGCAAGTGCCAGCGGTGTGTTAGCACCGTGTTAGTGGTAACAGCACGTCACCAGCTCCATGCAAGTGCCAGCGGTGCGTTAGCACCGTGTGAGTGGCAGCACTAAGTCGTGAATGTCATGTGGGAAGCCGCTCTCCCGCTGTTTGTAAGACGTCAGCTTCAGCCCAGGCGTGTGCTTGCCGCGCGTGTCTCTGATTCGAACGCGAGGCAGTGCACCAATGCGGGGTCCGCCGGCTTCGCTCGCGAACGCTGCTGAACATGTGTGTGAATTGTACAAGTGCGGCGTCATTTCTGTTCTTGGGTCCGTGTTTGCCGCGCCGCCCTTGCCTGGCCGCGTGGCCGCAGTCTGTTTGTCCCGCTACGTCCCGCCACGTTCCGTCGGCGCCGTGTCCGCAGCACGCCGTTCCTGCGCTGCTGCGCCCTCTACTTCCACTTGCTGACGGGCGTGCGCGCGCCGGCGGAGCTGCAGCAGGCGTTGCCGCTGACCGCGCAGCTGCCGCACCTGCTGCGCTATCTGGGGCTGGACTCGCTCTGCGTGCCGCAGGCGACCGATTGCCACAGCGCCCTCTACGAACTCGTGTTCCGGTGAGTGACGCGCCGGCGCGACGGTCGTCGCGCTCAGAGCGCCGGGTCACCGAGCGATTTCAGCCCGCGGTCAGCGAGGCCTCCGGCCCGGCTCGGTATCCGCCGTTGCGACCCGAACGGCTCGCGGCGGCGCCTGAGCTGGCGTCGCGTCCGCTCTCCGAGCGCGATGAAGGGTTCTGCGGATGGGTGCGGTCAGCACGGCGGCGCGGCAGCTTCAGCAGCTGGCTGCTGCGCCGTTGGCGGGTGGCAGTCAGGTCGTGAATAAGCGGCGTCACAGCAGTTGAAGGATTTTTTGTTGTGGCCTGATGCTCGAGCGGACTTTTGCAAGTGTTCACGATGCACGTTGTTCCACTACCCTTCAGTGGGGACCCATCGCCCACGGTAGTGATATGAGCGGCCGGCAGTTGTGGTTTCGGACTGTTATCGAATCTGGATCTCCCCGTGGAAGTTGGTGACATTTCCAGCTGCTGATCTGTTACACTGGGGGCATGGTGGCGATTTGCGTCGGACGCCGCTGCCGTGGTGTGACGAAGTGCGTCCGCCGGCCAGGTGGTGCCGCCACTCTGCGGCCTCTCTGGCGCAGACGCCCGTGCGCCTCTTCTCACCGGGCCGGGTCAGCCGTCTGATCGACCTGCCGCACGAGTACTCGGACCTCATCATCCAGGTGAGCAGCACGAGTACTCGGACCTCATCATCCAGGTGAGCAGCACGCGTAATCGGGGAATAGGCCTTGTCATGTAATGAGTTACCGGAGACTGACGTGTTTGGTTAGTTGAGTGTTTCGCCGAGACGCGACACACTATGTTGACTCGACGAATGTCACTGCATCAGTGACTGCGTTGTTCGGCACGGACGACGCCTCTGACGTCGGTACCATCGCAGCGGCTGACAGGGCGCGCTCCTCCGTGCCGTCCCCAGGCGTCCAGTTTCCGGTGTGAGTGCGGCGAGTCGGACGCGGCGCTCAGCCCGGTGCTGTGTCTGGTGTGCGGAGTCATGCTGTGCTCGGACGTGGCCTGCACGCGCGACCGGCTGCTCTCGAGGCGGGGCATGGAGGGCCACGCGCTCAGCTGCGGCGCCGGCGTCGGTCTGCTGCTGCTCGTGCGCCGCTGCAAGCTTTACCTGGTGCACTCGGTCGCCGACGCCATCGCAAGGAGTGAGCGCCGCCCGAGGATGGGGAAGGGGGTGTGAACGGTATCGGGACCGTACACGGGGTACAGCCCGGGCGGTGCCCCAGTCCGCGCCCCCTTCGCGCTCCCCGCTCGTCGGCTCGCCGGGAGCAGGGACTGAGAGGGTCCAAGGTTCGAATAAGGGCTTGGACGTGAGTTAGGCACGTCACTGAAAGTAAGTTTGACTCGTGTCGTCGCATTTGTGACGGTGATTATGCAACTGAGCTATGTTGCGATAACGCTACTGGTGTTTTCTGGTCTAGCTGAGTTTGACAATATCACTGAATACTGATGATATTACTAAGTATTGATGATATCACGGAGTAAGCACTGATGATATCACGGAATACTGATGATATGATATCACACACCATATGTCACGGGTGTCATTTTATCAAACCAATGGTATCTGAAATCGGTGATGATATCAAATGTCACCGATGATATCTTATATCAATGGTGTCATCTTATATGAATTATATCCCTGGTCAAGTGATCAGGAAAAGCATGCAAAAATGTCATGTGACCTTCCTGGTGGCCTGCACAGAACAGTCTGGATTTATTCAAAGCGATGCCATCGTTCTGTAGATGGTGTATGGCACAGCTTTGACCACACTGATGGATCCCCATTTGGCTGCCTACCACATCTGTACCCCCAGCCCTTCGCCGTTGTAGCGCGGCCTGATCGGACGGCGGCCGTGCGTCCCCGCCACCAGACGTGTGGCACGCGCTCGCTGGGGGCGAGATGCTCGCCGCTGCCTGGTCTGACTGTGCGCCGTGCGTTTGCCAGAGGCGCTGTTCCCGCCGCCGTATGTGGACCGGTTCGGCGAGGTGGACCAGGGCCTGCGGCGTTCCAACCCGCTGACGCTGCAGCTGGAGCAGTACGCCAAGCTGAACCGGCTCTGGCTGTCTCACGGCGTCTCGGACGAGGTCACGCGCTACATGGAGGAGTTCTCGTCCGGCATGATCCTGGACTGAGCGGCCGCTGCGCCGCGCGTGCCGGGCGGTGTCGAGTCCGACCTGGCGACAGCGCCGTTTGACGGCGGGATCGGCGGATGGTCGTCCGCCTGCCTGACGAGGGTGGCGGCCCGCCGAGGGTGGACGTACGTAGGGTCGACCGCGCTCACTCGGCGCAGGCCGGACCTCGGGGTCGAGGGTGACCTCTGCCGTGCTCGCGACGGGACTGGACCTTCGCTCGGGGCGGCGCTGGGCTCGCTGCGGCCCTCGGCCCGCCCGCTGGTGACCGGCGGCCCGACGTCGGGCGGGGTCGCCGCCGACCGGCCGGGGCGCCGCCGCCGCCAGCGCCGAGCGGCGCTCGGAAGTTTCCTGCGCTTTGGCTGTGTGATCAGACGCGTGTGATGTGAAATGAGACACGTGTGATGTGAAATCAGACACGTGTAACTGATGTCGCGGCAACTGACGTCACGGACTGCGCCCTTCGGCTGTTGGTGTAGACATGATTGAAAATGATGATTGGAGGTTTTACAATAAAGGTGTTTGTTAAGGATTGCTGCGGTCTTGCTGTCCAGAACCTTCTCCGAATGAGGCATGGAGGTACTGCTTAAATTGAGATGTCAAGCAGGCATTGGAATATGTTATGAAGGTACTCGACGTTTCCAGCAGTGCTCATTGTACACCGGAGCCATGAACACTTGACAGGTAACACAACACCAGAACCACGTGGTCAGCGTGGTCCACCGGCACCGAATGGGGGGAAAAACAAATTCCGGGAATCGTAGCAATTATTGGGATTCTGCTGGGGTGAAATCTGATACAGTAACGGGTTACCCCTGTTTGGCCGCTAGTATCGTGAGACACGACGATGGCAAATGCTTGATGCCACATATTTGTTCAACACGGAAGTCAGTGACGAGCGGAGCATCAGCAAGCATTAAAAGCATTAGAAGTGGTGATGGTAGTAGTAGTAGTAGTAGTAGTAGAAGTAGTAGAAGTAGCAGTAATTGTAGAAGTAGTAGAAGTAGCAATAGTAGTAGTAGTAGCGGTGGTGGTAGTAGCACGCCTGGAAAACCGGAGGCACGGAGTTCAATTCCCCGCTGTGCGAACCCTTTCTGCCAGGGCGAGAGGCAGGCGACACCTTAGTAGCAGGCGACCGCCTTAGTAACTGATTTGATCGGAAAGTACCAATGACACCCAGAGCCAAGGGGGAGGGAGCAAATCAAGCTCTTGTCAGGCGCGAGCGTCGGATCTGTGGACCGCCTCGTGGCTAAGGTCTTCCGCGACCAGAGCAGCGGTGGAAAGACCAGCCCTGGGTCAGCGAGCAGGCCATCCCGACGCCGAAAAACCTCGCTGTTGGTGACAGCTCCATGCTTTTGGAGGAGCAGCGTCAAGAGGCAAGGACCTGCAAGTTGATGGACACTGCGCCGGACCCAGAGGAGGTTGTGGACGTATTAGTGGAGTTTCTCAACAGTCTGAAGCCATCAGGTGACCCATCATATAGCCTGGTGCTTATGTCACCAGGCCGACAAAAAGCAGCAGCATCCCGATGATCCCGCTCGCCCCGTCTGACATGCCCTCTGATTTCAGACGGATCCAGGTCCCTATTAAGCAGGGCTACGCCGTGCCCATGAACAAGAGCCAAGACTCATCCAGGCTGAGAAGTGTTCTCCGATGCTGATATTTACGCCTACTGGTCCAGGGTCAGCAGCCGACCTGTTCACCCTGTCGCAGGACAACAAGACTGAGAATGTGGCGTACACGCCTGCCATGCAGCCGCGACATTCTCCGACGCAGGAATGCATTTCTAGCGGGATCACAGCGTCCACCAGTAACCGGCTCGCAGCTGCTCATCCCCACATCGCGTCGTGTTTGGCTTCGGTCTCTCAGTGCCTCACTTGCCGGCCGCGGTCGGAAGCGCCGGTTTCGGGTAGCAGACCGTGGTACTGCACCTCGGAGGGGCACGTGACCCGCCGGGTCCGAGTAGCAGACCGTGGTGCTGAACTTCGGGGGGGGGGGCACGTGAACCGCGGGTCCGGGTAGCAGACCGTGGTGCTGCACCTCGGAGGGGCACGTGACCCCACCGACTAGCCAGCTGGTCAAGCAATGATTCAGGATGACGATGCACCCTGTTTCGCGCCAGAGGCCACCAATGAGTAAACTGAGAATGGCATGTAACTCCAGTAGATTGCATTTTATTCTTTGCCGCTCACCGCCTGAGAGTCTAACGCCTGGGCGGGCTTGCTAACTTAACTGTTCCCGCAAATTATCTGCACTAAGAAGGGGTTGCAACTTCGTTGCCGTATCTGCATGTTAAATGCAAGTACAATTACCTCTGATGCTCCAAGGAATTATTTGCACACACTTTGGCGGGGAATGCCGCTACAACATGTTCGCGTATCAAATGCAAGCACAAATGCGCATGATGGTTGTCAGATCCAGTACGATTATGAAACCAAATGCAACTGTCTCAGCTCGCTACTTTGCAGGATAAATTTCAAAATTACCCGGGCATCGCCGGATATCACACACAGCGAGACATAAGTCCCCATTGTAGTTATTTAAGTCTTAGGCAATGCATGTTGGGCAGCATGTGTCAGGCATGGTGTGCTACTTTGTTTCTTTTGCATATTGTGGTCTTGCACTGCCGGAGTCTAGAAGATATGGAGAAAATAGGTAAATACTAACCACTTCCCGGCTGTAGATCCAAACCCGTAAAAGGTGTTTCACCCGCCACGGTTCGGAAATTTGTCGTCACTTGCCCAGCGGCGGTCTGCAGAATCGTGGGCTACGCCGGCACTGGAGTCGAGACTGACCGCTAGGAGTGGTCTGCAGAATCGTGGGCTACGCCGGCACTGGAGTCGAGGTCGGTCGCTAGGAGCGGTCTGCAGAATCGTGGGCTACGCCGGCACTGGAGTCGAGGTCGGCCGCTAGGAGCAGTCTGCAGAATCGTGGGCTACGCCGGCACTGGAGTCGAGACTGACCGCTAGGAGCGGTCTGCAGAATCGTGGGCTACGCCGGCACTGGAGTCGAGGTCGGCCGCTAGGGGACGGACGCCACCGTATCAGGCATCACAGGTGCCTGCAGCCGAATCATGCACACACACGAGGAAGAGGATGTCACTTCCCAGGGCGAGCACACTGCGGGTCGCGGGAAAGGGTTTTTTTTCGGGGTGCTCCACACCTTGGCTCTAAGGTAGGTTCTGTGGGAAAGGCCAAAGAGGGCTGGACTCTGCGGCCCGTCTGGGTGGGTCTCCATCTACTGATTTGAAAGGCTGTATATTGCGCCTGGCATAAGTTTCTCGATGTAAGATTGTAATTGTGCGCCTTCAGCATGTAACGGCAAACATGTAGCTGTGTTCAAGAATGCGACGTGGCTTGCATCAATTGTGCACATATTAACGAAGGTGAACGATGCCATACATATACCGTGGGGCAAGCCTTCCCCTTTCTGGTGCACTGTGTCAGGATGGCCCTGTGGTGGACGCTGAGCAAACCGTGCCGCCTGCCACACGTCAAATCCGCGTAGCAGGCGGAGCGAGTGAACGCTAAGCTGAACGACGATACATTGGCATGGCCCGTCGGTGAACATCAGGATTTTACGGGGCGACTGGCGCGGCGCTGACTGTCGACGTAGAAACACCTGCTCCTGGCACCTGCTCGAGTCCCATGACTGCGAGGGCAGACTGCCCCGATGAGGTCTTGGCCTTGTCTGACCGGAGCGGACGTAGGTCCAGCGGGCCACAGTGCACACCTTGTGAGCTGGCTGCGCTGATGGGGATACCGGTCCTGCGAGGTTCCAGTTCTGGCGGGCGGGCCCGCGCCCTATCACAGAACAAGCCGCACGTTGTCACATAATGCCTTTATTGGTACAATGCGCCGAGCCGCTGCGTTCATTGGCACGTCATTACAACAGTACAACACTATGGCAGCCCTAACGACTTGATATAAATAAAATAGATATGATTAAATAATCGCTCGAACAGCTACAGCGGTGAATGACCGCGCATACAGACGCAAGGCCCCACAGCTGTCTCTGGGCGCTCACCCAATACGCCGCCAGGCCAGCCAGTGAGGCGGCGGCGCAGGCAGGGCGCGCTTCAGAGGTACTGTGCGATTCGGGCGTCAGCGCGCCACTTCAGGGTCGTCATTCCCGCCCCGGTCACTGCCGCGTGGCCCCCGCGAGCTCCTCCAGCTGCACCCCGAGCCACGGAGCCCCGAGCCTTGTTGCGCGGCGTAAGCGCCGTCAGCTGTTACAACATGCACGCGATTCTGTGGGGAACGAAAGACAACCGAGCCGCCACTTCCCACTCTCGCCGGAACAGACCTTCACGCATGAAACCCCATAGCACAGGGCGGCTGTCTCGAGTGAAAAAAAACAGAGCACAGGGCGGCTGCCTCGAGTGAAAAACACAGACCACAAGACGGCTGCCTCGAGTGAAGAACACAGAGCACAGGGAGGCTGCCTCGAATGAAATCACAGAGCACAGGACGGCTGCCTCGAGTAAAAAACACAGAGCACAGGGCGGCTGCCTCGAGTGAAATCGCAGAGCACAGTGCGGCTGCCTTGATTGAAAAATGCCGCAGCTAGTGGTTCTGTTCGTACTTCGTCTACCATGCGCAAGGTTGGAGACGCCCTCTTGTTTCGCGTGTAGTTTGGCCACTCTGATCGTGTTGGGATCGTTAATGGCGCCGGCCGCCTGTTCAGACCACAGCCCTCTTCTGGTGCGCAACGCGCAGAGACGGACAGCGTGACTCCACCAGACGGAGTCAGAGTGCTGTGGACTCCGCCTCTTCCACTGGCGGCGGCGACCTCTCGGCCTTCTCCGCCGCGTCCACTGCGCCCGCCGGCGGTGGGGCCGCCGAGAAGAATCTCCTCTGAATCTCCTCGAGCGAGAGGCCGCGCGTCTCAGGAAGCCAGAAGGTGGCCAGTGCCACCTGCAGCAGATTGACGGCGGCGAAGAGCCAGAACGTGCCGTAGTTGCCGAGACCTGACACCATGGCTGGGAAGAAAGTGGACAGCGAGGGAACTGCACCACGCTGAAGTAGAGCAGCACGATGCTGATTGCCATGGAGCGTACGCTGTTGGGCAGCAGCTCTACCAGGTAGGTGAAGGTGATGGGTGCGATGCCGGCGCCGTAGGATAGTGTGGGTGGCCAGAGCCCCCGGCCAGTACCAGCCACGGGTACTGGCCCAGCAGGAAGAAGGCGCCCATGGCTGTACATCCGACCATGCCGAGCAGGCCGGACACCTGCAGCAGGCGAAAGACGGCGGGCTCAGAAGTCGTCAGCCAGCCAGGCAGGCGGGACGCAGACCGACAGAGACCAGGCGGGACACAGGCCGGATAGAGACCATATGGGACACGGGCCGACCGTGACCAGGCGGAACACAGACCGACAGAGACGAGGCGAACACAGACCGACAGAGACCAGGCGGGACACAGGCCGACAGAGACCAGGCGGGACACAGACCGACAGAGACCAGGCGGAACACAGGCCGATAGAGACCATATGGGACACGGGCCCGACCGTGACCAGGCGGAACACAGACCGACAGAGACCAGGCGAACACAGACCGACAGAGACCAGGCGGGACACAGGCCGACAGAGACCAGGCGGGACACAGACCGACAGAGGCCAGGCGGAACACAGGCCGACAGAGACCAGGCGGGACACAGGCCGACAGAGGCCAGGCGGGACACAGACCGACAGAGACCAGGCGGGACACAGGCCGATAGAGACCAGGCGGGACACAGGCCGACAGAGACCATATGGGACACGGGCCGACCGTGACCAGGCGGAACACAGACCGACAGAGACCAGGCGAACACAGACCGACAGAGACCAGGCGGGACACGGGCCGACCGTGACCAGGCGGAAACACAGACCGACAGAGACCAGGCGGACACAGACCGACAGAGACCAGGCGGGACACAGGCCGACAGAGACCAGACGGGACACGGGCCGCCCGAGACCAGGCGGAACACAGGCCGACAGAGACCAGGCGGGACACAGGCCGACAGAGACCAGACGGGACACGGGCCGCCCGAGACCAGGCGGAACACAGGCTGACAGAGACCAGGCGGGACACAGGCCGACAGAGACCAGACGGGACACGGGCCGCCCGAGACCAGGCGGAACACAGGCCGACCGTGACCAGGCGGGACACACGCTGACCATACAAGTGCGGACACAGAGCAACGAGACAAATAGACCGAGATGAGGCGAGATTGAGTACATATCGATAGTCGGAACGCGGCCATACCGACGAGAGGGGATACACCGAGCTGACAAGACGGGGCACACCGAGCTGACGAGACGGGACACGCCGAGCTGACGAACGAAACACAGATCGGTAAACACAAGACGGGACTTCCGGTCAGACACGACACGCGGCCGACGGCCGTGTGTCGTGTTTCGTCGGTCGAGACTGGACGGGACACCGAGACAAAACAAACTGAGACCGAGACGGACAATGGACAAAGACCGAGATCAAGACCATGTGGCATGCAAATCACCCAAGGTCAGGCAGAACTTACAGTGAACGCCGCCGTGTTGACTGAACCTTGCACCAAAAACGTGCAAGTCTTCAAAACTGTGTCACAGCGCAGTGAAATGATACGGTAAGACTTTGAAATGCACAGGTTACGCGGTGTTAGCGAGCTTATGTGTCATACGATCTGTTAAACAATGTGATTTGATTTCGATAGGGCTATCGCTGGCGCTGCAGTTGCTGACACTGAAATCTAAGGCGAATGTGACTGACCACCCCGCCTGACCGTGGACCAGCGGGCCGGCGAGCTGTCACAGTTCGGCGCACGCGGCGTCCACTAGCAGCACCAGGCAGCCATCACCCGGCCGGCGGAAGCCTGACCTGCAGCAGAACTCGGCGGTTGCAGCGCTCGAGCAGCGAGCCAGAAATCAGCATCGACAGCGCCATGGCCGCCGAGATGTACATGGAGCTGTGGTAGGGGTTGATGTCCCCGCCGGTGGAGCGGAAGATGGCCGGCCCGAACTGCACCACACCAATCGCGCCGCTGAACACCAGGCAGAAGAACTGCAGCAGAAGCAGCAGCGTCGGGTGCAGGTTCTCCCAGCGGCGGAAGACGTGCGACAGGCGCGTCAGCAGGCTGGCCGCGTGCCCGGAGCGGGACAGCGACTCCTCGATGTTCTTCACCTCCTGCTTGACGTCGGCGCCGTCGCCGAGGTAGAAGCGCACGGAGCGCTCGGCCTCCTCACTCGGGTGGCCGTGCGCCAGCAGCCACTTGGGCGACTGCGGCAGGAAGAGCAGGCCGCAACGCCTGCAATACGGCCGAGGCCGTCACCAGCGAGAACTCCACCGTGCGCCACGGCAGCCGCGACCCCAAGCCCAAGCACCAGCACCACCGTCACCGGCGTCACCGTGTTCAGCACGTTGCCGACGGCGCCGCGCACCGTGCGACAGGTCACCTCGCCGACGAACGCGCGCGCCGGGCCCTCCACCACGCCGAAGTAGAGGCCGATCAGCAGGCGGCCGGTGACGGCCCAGCCAAAGCCGGCACCGAGGCCGACCATGGCGGCGCCGGCGACCGCCAGCGGCAGCAGCGCCAGCAGCAGGCGGGGCGCGCCCAGCCGCGGAGACAGGTACACGGACGCCACGTTGCCGGGGATATTGCCGAACGTGAAGCACGAAACGATCCAGGTGACCTGCGTCAGTGTCAGGCGCTTCTCGCCGTGCTGCGGGTCGCGCTCCGTCTCCTGCGTGAAGAGGACGCTGCCAGAGCCGATCGAGCAGCCCAGGATGACGAACGTCTGCGCGCAGATCAGCGCGGCAGCGATCTGAGGAGAGAGCGGCCGTCAGCGGCAAGATATACTATCCAACTATAGGGCTGCATGGACACTGGGATGGCGCTGCGAGCGCTGGGCTGTTGGACATTACAAAGTGTAGAGGAAAATCGAGCCGGGGAGAGAAAATGGGGCGAAAGAAACTGAGGAAGGCGATGCCATAATCAATGGAACTAGCATTACGGGCTACAACTTCACGGTGTTTCAATGAGCTTCTGACTGGCTAAAGCGTAAGGCTGGCCCTCTTGTTCTAGGACGACGAGTTATTACACTGTAGCCAAAGTTGATACGAAATGGACAATGTCTCCCCGTTTTCCACCTCTTCAAGCCATTAGTCTATCAAGACTTCTGAGCAAATCATCTTTACGTAATGCTTTATTTTCAGACACATTTAATCCCTAAACGCTGTGCAGCTGGCACAGCGAGCGTCACAAATTCATATGACCCCTTAATCCACATAACGACCATGTTGTACAAAAGCAAGCATTGCATGAGGGACAAGACGAGATGCGCGTGCCGTCGAGGCCTTGTTGTCCCCTCCCACACCTCACCTGAGCACATAGCTTCAGTCAATGGCAAACAATGTTCAGTGCTTAAGTATTCTCCGCAGATACCTTGGATTTCCAATAAAACGCTCAATTGAATTCAGAGACGTCATAGCGATGTCGATAATGTGCTACATCTACTCGTCTTTTACCTTAAGTGTTCTACATTGCGTGTTATGCATCCCAGAAATGTTCCAGGTATATATATATATATATATATATATATATATATATATATATATATATATATATATATATATGTGTGTGTGTGTATACATATATATATGTACATATATATGTGTGTGTATATATGTGTATATTTTCTAGATGCACGATATATGGCCAGGATATAAGTTGTGCGTGGTATTCTCACAATATCACTACAGACATACATTCTTGTTAGATATTGTGCATGTGGAAAGAGTATGTTTGAATCATCGTCGGGCACCATGCCGAGGCCTCGTACTTGACCTATAATGGGAGTGCCGCTATCGGCTTCCCTCATGGATGATATCCATTTCTGTCGTGTTACAAGACGATGTCCCCGATGAGAGAGCTTGCGCAACCAGGACGGCTATGGGCAGATAGGGTCCGGTCCCGCACGTGATGCGAGTTCAAAGGCACACCGGAAGGGACACGCTGACAGGACGGGACAAGGCAAACCCTCTAGCAGCCCACGGTAAACCACGGAGAGGCGCTTCACGGGGACCAGTGGCCCAGCGCCATACCAGTCACCAGTGAGAGACATCCGAGCCGGGTGTCGCACAGGACAGGACGGAACTGGACTAACAAAGCTGACCCTTGTCAGAGGGCGTGACGCGCCCGCCACAGCGGGGCAGGGAAACTGCCGAACGCTGCAGCGGTTGCGCCCAGCACTAAGTCATGACCGGTCAGTGCCGCTTCGCTGGCCTCCGTGGCACAATCGCCGATGGCAGAGGCGGCGGCCGCGCACAGTGTGGTCCGGCTCGTCGCCGGCCGACTGCTGGTCCGTCGCAGGTCACGAGGCCCACACAACGCGGGTAAGGTCACGGCCGGCCGACTGCTGGTCCGTCGCAGGTCAGGACACCCGGCCACACACCCCGGTAAGGTCACGGCCGGCCGGTGGGCCGATAGGCGCGCCCAAGGCACTCGCGTCCACACACCCACCACAGGGCGGGGTCGTGACTCGGCGTCCGCGCTGCGGGTGCGGGGTCGCTCGGAGTTCGGCCGGCTCCACTGGCAGGCACCGACGCGAGCCTGACCCGCGCTGGTAGGGAGTGTCGACCAGTGAGATGCCGTGAGCTTGTGTAAACGGCCTGACACACTGAGCAGGGACAGGAGTCCGTCTCTGACAGTGCTCGTTGACGAATGGGGATCGACCTCATAAGGCGGCTGTGGCATGTCTGGGCCCGAACATCCACTAAACAGACCAGCGGCCCCCGATTTCCAGCCTCCAGTATCGACCGCTAACGACGGATGGCACCACCCACGCGCGTGTCTCCCTGCTGTAAAAATTCACCGTCGACGGGAGTCGAACCCACTTGGCGTGCCTCGATCGGAGATCAGAGCCAGGAGAGCTGAGCGAGACTGGCGGCCAGCCGGTTTGCTGCGGTAAAATACAAAATAACGCTGGCAAAGCCTTGGCACTCGGATCATATGTCTCCCAACGCGGTCGACTTGTTTTGACTTGAGATACAGTCATAGAATACACGAATCACTTGCTCCTTTATTTTATTCTAACAGATCGCACATTGGGCGGATAAAGGTAGCTCTCATGAAGCTTTCGTCGGCACACCAGCAGCAGCCTTTGTCGCTCCCCGGTTCAACGCCGCTCTCTCCGTTGCCGTTCGCTTTCACCGTCCGGCCGCCACCGGAAGGGCTGCGCCGCCAAAGGTCAAGGACGCGGTGCGGTTTTTGTCAGCCGGCTGCCAGCCTCGCCCACCCGTGCCTGCCTCCACCCCTCCCCCTCCCCACCTCCCCCGCGGTGCCGGCGGCCAACACCTGGACATGACCTCATTCCGCCGCGGTCGTGCGGTGATCGGAATTGGCTCAGCCGTGGGGCGAAGTCTAGACTTTGATAAGAGGGATGAAGTGCAACACGCACGCAGCGTTATGAAATCGCCCGGCCTTCACCAAATGGCAGATAGATGGCGATAGGGTTGGCGCCGTAAATGAAACAGGCATTTCATGCCGGACGTTCGTGACAAGAAGCGACGGAAACCAAAACCGTGGTTCTGAATGCCAGTTGGCACCTGTGGTCTTATTTCATGAGTGCTCAACTCTAAAACGTTTGAATGTGAGTGCAATATGTGACAGGGTCATGTTCTTACGCAGATTTTGTTTCCGTGCAGGAACCAACGCGTTTGGGCATGGTCGGAATGGGTTGAGACGTAACGGGATCCACGCTTGGATATAGGTACATTGCTCGGCATGCAACGCTGGATGCCTCGTTGTGGAGTTGACTGTAGTGTGTCAAGGTCGTGTTATGCTTTTTGAATTGCCGAGATGTTTCTTGTACATATTCGTGGGGTAACGTTAATAGATGTTATCTCACCCTTCACGCACCACCACTCATCACAGGTGTCGATTTATATTTTTGGGTGGCCCACTGCCCCTCCCCCCTGCCCAATTCGCCCTGCCCCCGAACGGTGAGCTGGCGCCCCAACCATCTGAACCCCAAGTATAAGCAAAATGTTTCCAAAATGTTACCAAAATCATATCGATTTTGACCCACGCCCGGCCAGGGCAGTCGACTCCCCCTACGATTTTTCGAGCACAGGTCAAAATCGATCGCTTGCAGGAGCATCGAATGTTCACTGCCTTTTCGTAAATTAATTAGGTACCCTTTGTGCAAATTAAAAGCTTTGATCTGCCGAGGTCATGGACCTTAGCTCAGGTAAAAAAGGGCAACATCTAAAAAACTTTGGTCACGCATAACTTTGTATGCTATTTTTCATTCCTCAAACTTGCTATAGTAATACAACATGATAGAACGTGCAGTTTGTTCATCTGTCAGTGGCTTGGGTTGAGGTCAGTTTTTTGCTTTTTTCGTAAATAATGCAAAGTTTACGTATTCGTTTGCAGGCTTGGTGTTTGTGTGTGAGAATAGAGTGCTACCTTAAGTTTGCAGCCTTCATATGACCAAAGGCAGCATGACATTGGCCTAGGCCACGACCTACGGGGTGCCTTCTTGCAGACAAATGCTAAGCTTAAAACAGCAATTTTTCTAGGCAACTTTAGGTGCATTCGACTTTTCCATTAAAAACGTGCTTAAAACACAAAGCAATGCATAATGAGGTCACCATAGGTCACGTGAGAGCATGCAAGGTCATAGGAGGTCAATGGCCTCTTGTCTGTTGCGGAGAGGCTAGCTAAATGAGTGCGACGTGTGTAACCACCTCTATATCATGTTTGTGAGGCTGATGACGTAAACCTTTATGTACCACCGTGCCTGTTCTCAGCTTATTACAAATACATCGCCAAGCGCCAGAGAGACTATGTATAATGTGTGCAAGAGCTTTGCGATCTTGAGCACCTGTAGATGTACAACACACTATTTCTGACTACAGAAAAGCATTATGCTTGATCCAGTTAGCACTTTAAATGTGCTCATTTGGATAGTTTATGAATTTAAGCTAAGTTGACTTCAGCTCACCTCTAGGTCAGCCTAAAATGGTATTTTGTGTTTATGAGATGCTTTTTTACAGCTGCACCTAGGAAAATAACCTAAAATCAGAAGCACCTTGTGAAACAAAACCAAAGCTATCTTCTTGTAGTCTACTGAAAGATCAACTATGAACGATGATCTGACCTGAACCTCGTGGGCGGGCAAAAATGTTCAGAATGCACGCTCAGCAGTCTTGACGCCTACTTCTGTTTTCTTAATAGCTGTTGAGCGTATTAACATACGCTTTAACTGCAGCCATCATAATTGCCGTTTTTCCTTTTGTGACCTCTGGTGACCTCACACCTCACCTAAGATCAAAACATTGGTGTGCATTCCTGAAGATTCGACGACGCTTTCACTGCGGTATATTTGTTTTTTCTCGTGTGACGTCTGCCAGTTGGAGATCCCTGGGGGGGGGGGGGGAGGTGGGAGTTTAACACCTACCGGCCGGGCGCGGTCGTCTCAGACCGCCGGCCCACCATGTTCAGCTGAGTGCAGCTGGATTAGTTCGTTGCACTTTTAGGGTTCCACGCTCGTAC